TTTGAGGTTCACTTTGAGATTTAAAGGCAAGACAGTTCAATTTGATCTATTCTGAGATTTTTTTTTAAAGCTATACTTGGGAATCATCAAAACTCCTTCATTTTTGAGCAGAATGGGATGAAAATAAAGGTATGTGACTCCCTAGAAGACATTAATGCTTTGTGTTTCTGCTGGATACCTTTTACTGCAATAAACACTTGAAATATTTAATATTTAAGGCAGTGAGAGCAGGGATAGGATATGGATGTCCTTTTGTGGGGAGGCAAGGGAAGCAAGTGATGAAATGTTCATTATGGCATTGCAATGCAAACTCTTCCCCTTATGTATTTGTGGATGTCACAGCACACACTTAATCCTTTTGATATCATGGTGGCTAGCTCTGAATGCTGATTTCTGAGCTGAATTCTCAAGTTGTCCTTCCATCAATACAAGAAAAAGTAGAGATATGCTGACCACATTAAATAATTTGAGAATGGGGAAACTAAGCATAAGCAAAGTTAGCCAGCTACCCAAAATATCTCTAACAGGTACAGTTGCTCAACCTCATTAGCATTCTCCATATGTGCAAAGTTGCAACATTCTGTATTGTCTATAAAAATCTCAGAAGTATCAGAAGAGCAATCAAATGTGCAAAGCATTTGAAAGATTATTAACTACTTCAATTTTTACAGCCCAGATCTGATAAGTTCTAAAGCTTGTCTAATTCAGTATGATATTTAAGAATGAAGTACGTTTCAGAGCAGTTTAGACTATTGATTTAAAATATATTTATTTTACATCATTAGAACCTTGAGGCATAGAGCAGAATTAAAAACTCCCCAAATTATCCAGCTAAAAAATCAACAAATCAAATAATCAATTGTAGCAGGCCATGAATCCAAAATAACTCTTCTGCATTCATTCCATTTTTTTTGGGTGGGGGTCAATTTGATTCACTGAGCATTTATTTTTATATTCAGTAGTTTTTCCATATGCCTCATCTCTTTGTTTCTATGTTAAATTCACATTATCAGTCACCCTTCTTTTAGAAGCCATGTAGACCATTTCCTCACTAGTGATTTATAGTGTCTTATAACATCACTCAGCTATTCTTGTTCTGAGATAACAATAAAGAGGACAGATTTTTATATCACTGCACCAATGCTTAAGTGATACTAGAAAGTACTCCAAATCACTAGTGGAGAAATGGCCCTAGTTTTTTTCATGAGCACAACTGGTTCTTAAGACCTGGAAGGCCGCTAGACATTTTAAAATTCTTTCTTTTATGAAATGGATAACCATATCCACTGAATACTATCTTTTTATATATTTTAAAGTATTATAGAAAAATGATTTCATTCCTCTTTTCAAAGAATACTATTCCATATATGTTGGCTTAATACTATGCTCTACAAATATCCAAAGGAATATGTACTCTATAACATTATTGGAAAGATGTCTGGGGTAGACCAACTGAATGGGTCCTACATTCCTGTAGTGGGAAATGAATTCAGAGAACTGTATAGCAATCAAAGAGAGATCATCCATGACAGGGAAAAACAGAGATATTCCCTAACTCCAGATCATGTCACCACTGCCCTGAGACAACCCACAGATCTAAATGTGTGTTGGGGCTCAATGACTTGGGTCAGGTTCATGGTTGTCACAATGATCATGAGCTCCTGAGCCACTTCAGACTCTGAGCCCATGGAAGGAAGGTGGATTGAAATATCCTAGAACCATAAATATGAGAAAATCTACTGTCAGCCCAGCCACAGCATGGAGCAACTAAGACAGGGAAGCTACTATGCCAATAGAAGAGAATATATGTAGTTCAGAGTTGGATTGTTGGGTTCTTGGTGTTCTCTGAGTTTGGTTGTTTTCTTGCAGATGTTTCATTACCAGGCTAGATGATAGCATCATCAGATAATACCAAGTTCAGAGAGCACCAAGAACTCAAGTTATTATGCAGCAAGGAGGCCAGTACAGTAGCAGTAATCCCATCTATTCCCTGGAACATAATTTCATACACAGGATCTAACATTCAGTTATCTGCAGACTTCTGAAAGTTGCAAGAGTCTCTCTGATGTGAATAGCCACTCCCCCACTTATATCCTAGTGATGTCATATGCAAAATGCAGGTAGGCACAGTTCCAAGAGGAGTATTGGCCCTTCTGTGCCCATTCAGGTCTCAGTTATATATGGCACGGTAAGATCAGGATGAAGGGCAACTTACTACAGGCCAACGTGGCATTAAATAGCAAAAGCCTGAGCTCAGGGTCACTGATTATCTGATGACCAGACATTGAGGTTGAGACCAGGGAGCTAGAAGGCACAATCAATATAAGACACTCTTTTCTTGAAAGCATCCTGCTTCCTGTCTTCTACCTTATCTTCCTCTGCCCATCACTACCAAGATGTTACTGCCTGCCCCATAACCCCTGACCAGACTAACTCTACCCTGAACTCTTCCTTCTCCAAGGATCCCATCCAGTTCCCAGATATAAACAAACCGCTCCCGAGCTAGCTAGTACAGCAGAGTCCTTAACTCATTTTTGCTCAGTCACTCAATGATACTTCAGATCGAGACAAGCCAGCTTCTCCTCTCACCATACGTGCCAGATTACTCACATCATACCCGGTTCTGAATCTGTTCTCACTGGGATTAAACTAGACATGAAAACCTCCCTCTCAGCACCAGCCACAGACTGGAAGGATCTGAGAGGTTACTGCCACCCTCCACCATCTCATATCCAGGTGAAGAAATGCACCCTTTAGCTCAGTTGAATCCAGCCTATTAAAAAAAAAAAAAAAGTATCCACTCTCCTGAAGTTTTAACTTGAAGTTGAGATCAAAAGCCTCAACTGTCCTAATTTCCAGCTTGTCAACTCCTATATACAGTTGAAACAGGCAGCCAATAACTGACTTCTTTGTGGCTCTGATTACATCACATGAGGTAGACAAGATGTCTACTGCCCTGTGTATAGACTCTGCAGAGGGTACTTGGGGAAGTTCCTGAGGATCTGGCATCTGGTTCAACTGAGGCCTTGGAATGAGAGAGTGGTAACGGCCCTAGATTGAATTACAGCTGTGTGGCCTCTCTCTGCAGATGGATCCCAGAGGGTCCCTTAGTTTTCAGAGAAACCATCCATCCTGGCCCTCCTTGATTTTAGTGGCCTTCAATAACATCAGTCATGGTATCTTTCTGGGCCAGCTCAGAGAGTTGGGAGTGGGAGGCATGGTGTTACAATGGATTTCCACCTTCTTCCAAGTCATTTTCAGTTAGTATTGTTGGGGGAAGAAATCCAGTCCTAGGCTCCTGTACTGTGGGATACGTCAAGTCCCAATATCTCCCTGCTCCTGTTTAAGATCTACGTGAGGCTGCTGGATGAAGTCATCTATTGGCCTGGGGCTAGGTAGCATCTTTATGATGATATATCCAGTTATACATCTCAACTTTTGCCTATCTAAGCAATCCCACTGAGATTCTATCTCAGTGTCTGAAGGCTATGGGGATGGGAGAAAAGAGGCTCAGTCTCTGTTTTGTTTTGCTGGTCAATGAGTGAAATAAAATGACTGAGAGGCTCAGCCTCAACCCTAGCAGGACTGAGTGGCTGCAGATTTGGGGCCACCTAGATCCAGGGAATTTCCATATTTGGTTCTGGATGGTATGGTACCTTACAGACACAGTATGGAATTTGGAGGTCCTCTTGGATCCATGGCTCCTGCTTGAAGAGCAGGTGGCAGTCATGGCTTGGAGAGCATCTTGTGTGCCAATTGTGCCCATCCCTGGATCAGGAGGCCCTACTTATGACTCCTCGCACCTTTGTCATCTTTCATCTGGATTACTGCAACACAGATTACATAAGGCTGTCCTTGAAGACTACTTGAAAGCTACAGCTGGTCCAAAATTCAGCAATGCAAGTAATTATGCTTATATACCATCTCTACTTTAAGAACTGTACTGGTTACCAATATGCTTTGGGGTCAATTCAAGGTGACCTATAAAACCCTTCATGGCCAGGGACAGGCAATTTGCACAACTGCCTGTCCACTCCAATAAGATCAGACAAAATAAGCATCCCAATGCTTAAGCAGTGGATTTCAGGAGACACACTTTTTCTGTTGCTGCCTCTGTTCTATGGAACAGCATTCCCTCTCATAGTTGGATGGTCCTGACCCTTCCTGCCTTGGGAAAGACTCTAAAGATGTGACTTCCCTCCAGATAATGGTTAGAGGATTTTGTGACTGTCTCTCTTGATGGTCCCTCTTGGATTGTTCTTGGTTGAAATTGCCTCAAAAGAATATGCTTTATTATTTGTAATGGTTGTGATTGTTGTTACATGTTGTTTTTATTTGTGTATACCACTCTGATTTCTGTGTGAATTGGGTGGCTATATACATTGATCAAAGTAAATAAATAAATAAATAAATAAATAAATAAATAAATAAATAAATAAAATTACTAATTTAAAACAATATATCTCAAATGTTACCATAACAATAATTAAACTTGCTTACATATTCTGACTCTAAGGTGAATTTGAAGAGATCTCTTTCATGCAGAGTTTTAAAAATGAGTTTATTTACAAAATCACATCTCATTCCAGACACACACACACACTTATTTGCTCTGTTGATGTGTTTTCATTGAAGCCGTCAGTCCCCCACAATTTAGGACATACCACAGTATTCAAGTTTGTATGGAAACTTTCATTGTTGTTTATCTGAGTGTTCAAAATCCAGTTTTCTGGTACGTAGGTGGCTTGGTGATTTGTCAGCATGCCATTCTGGATCAACCCTTTATGAATTGTTTTTAAGCACTAAAATGGACAATGAAAGCTTTTATAGCAGCTGCCTAATTAGCAGTAATCATTCTTGTTAACTTTGCTAAAGAACGGGAGTATGTGATGAATGTAAACTATTCATTTTGGGTTTTTTCCCCATACCCATTTGCTGCAAGCAAGTTCATCTTGTAAAATAGCCTTTAACTGCTTTACTATTTCATGTTCATTTTGCAGATTGAGAATGTTGATGTCTGCCTTAGCTTTCTGGCAGCCAGAGGAGTAAATGTCCAAGGTCTTTCTGCTGAAGGTAAGAGAACCACACTACCAACAGAGAAAGTAAAATATCTGTTGAAAAGTTCATGAACCCTGTTTTCAACATGCCATCCTGAGAAAGATCTTTATTTGAATTACTACTTTATTTTCTTGAAATCAATTGTATCTATATAAGAAAATGAACGTTTCATTTGGAAGCCAAGTCCATTTACTTAAATTATTGATTTATCCTTGGGTATATTTTGTCCATTTAATCTCTTACCTATATTTCTAAACAGATATATGGTGTACTTTCCAAGTACGTCGTTGAACATAGCATGAATATGATACAGTATTGCACTGTGCAAATCACTGAAATTTAGCACAGTCAATAAGCCTATAAGTTCCACAGCAAATCTCATTTTAAAGTCACTCATCTAATGACTGTATTGCATTCATGGATTCTGTTAACAATTATATGCATTAATGTTACACTGGAATTGTAATCACATGCTTTAGAACTTTTGTCAGTTTGTTTAAATTTGTTATTCTTTGTATCATGTATTATTTGCAGTCACAAGGCAAATTAGAATCACAAAAATGTTAAGTTATACCTTTTCTGTAGGGGAGTTGCCCACTATTTGTAATGATTTAATACATTATGCTGTATATTTTCAAATAATTAAATTAACATAGTGTACAAGGTTTCTTAGTACTGTTAACCGGTAACTACTATAAATTGGATTTAACAATTCCTGGAATTTATTAGCTTTGGGATTAATATCTGACTGAACTGATATCAGAAATTTGAATTGTAGTTTCCATTTTGTATGAAAAAGTATGACATTGTTACAGATTTCAGGCTCATTCAAATGCTATTGTTCATTTCTTGAGAAACCTGAAATAAATCATTTCTTGAAAAAGAAAGAAGTATCATAAAATAGTCTAATTTGTGTGTGTGTGTGTGTGTGCTTTAATGATAGTCTAATTTTTTTATTTCCTTGTAGAATATTAATAGTAGTTCTGTTCAGAACACTCAGTATAGCTTTATTTGTGATTCTGAAAGGAGATGTTTAACCTATTCTTCTTAAAAACAGTTCTTAAGAGAGTCTCATATTTATTTTTAGTGTTAACATATAGGTGAGTTTCAATTATATCTAGTCCATTGATCAGGGAACCCTGAATTGCAATAACAAGCCAGTGAGAAATCAAGTGGAAATATTATGATATATTACTCAAATATTTTATAAAATTTGAAAATTGTTGATTATATATTTCTCTCTGTTTCAGATGCACAATATCAATATACATTTCCTTTTAAACCTGTTATCAAGAAAATAGTAATATAATATATTTGTATATATTTTAATGGTTTTTAATTTCAGTTAAACATGCATAAACCTGCATTATTTTTATAATCACATGTATCATAAGACTTTTTATCAGATAATTCAAAAAACAAATTACAGTCCAGATTCAGGAAATGGGAAATAATGCCTAACAGATTTTTATTGTCTCTTCTTTTATTTGATAGCAAGGAAGGTGTGATTAAGCAATAGAAGCATTTTAACTTAATTTTACTTTCTTCTGAAAAACTAGGATGAAATTCTCAAATGTATCAACTGAGATAATTTCAGATGAATCAACAACACTTTTTGAATATAAAAGCCAGAGCTGAGTGCACATATTTATGACAGAGAATCAATGATTTAATTAAATCTAGGCCTTGTTCAATTTGACATTTATTTATTATGCTTTCCTATAAAACTGTCAATCTGATTAAGAACTCTGGCAGGATGAGAGCAAGTAACATTGCTAAATAAACAGAAGGAAAAATAATTATTATACCAATATAATAATGAATAAGAATGTAGCGAGTTCTGGTGCTATCAACAGACACAGTGAGGGAGTTGGCTCCAATAGTAAACCCTGGAGAGCAGGAATTAGGAATTAGACTAGTTTATGATCTCAAAACTAGTTATGTCCCCTCGGAAGCAACTTAGATGAACATCAGCCAAGATTTAGTTACTATTCTAGTCAGCTTCGGTATATATAATTATGTATGTACTAAGTATGAGATTGGATTCTTACTGGTTCCAGCATGAAAACTCTTCTCTGTCGTATAGTTAAACATCTCTTTCTCGCAATTCTTAAAGTGTGGGGAGACTGGTTCAGATGAAGGCAATCCTTAACTTGGTATCCAATAACTTAAAACTTCAAAAGTTATGAACAGCATTTTGATTTGGGCTTGGAAACACACATTTCACCAGTATGATCTAATACCTGAATGGACTGGGGATTCTTCTGGATGCTTCTGGATTGTCTACAGCAATAGCCCAATATAGAGACGTAGGCAGTGGTTCAGCAGAATTTACTACTGCATATGTAACTGAGGCAAGGCACAATACCAGTTTAATAACAGGATAATGAAATGATCAGCCAGTCAACAAATGTAAATAATCATCACACTGAACTTATGCAAACTTTGTTACATTTTGAGTAGTGATTATGTGCTATTTATGAAATGTTTTTGAATATATTTATGGTAGATAAATTTGGAGCTATTACCCAGTGAGAACTTTACAAGAGTTAAATATATGATTATTAAGAAATCCTACATCTAATATCCAATGTGAAACATAGGATTCCATCATAAACTGGCTAAAAATCTCAAGTCACATTAAATCCAAATATAAGACAGTTTGTAGAATTGAAAAAATGGCTAATGTCCATTAGACACATCTGTGAAGGAAAGCTAATTTTGATATTTTCATTTCCTTCTTTTTGTTTGTGCAGAAATAAGAAATGGGAATTTGAAAGCCATTTTAGGACTGTTTTTCAGTTTGTCTCGTTATAAACAGCAGCAACACCAACAACAGCAGTACTATCAGTCCTTGGTGGAGCTACAGCAACACATCTCTCATTCTCCATCTCCTCCTGAGATTGGCCAGTCCAAAACACAGCAAGATATGCAGTCCAGGTAGGTCAGATTATTTCCCTAATCAAATTGTAACTGGAATTGCTTTCTTAATGCAATAAATATCTTCACAATCTGCAAAACAAAAAAGGAACTGTGAATCCAATGGAGTCTTATGTGGAAGTAAGCCTTACTTACATTCACTATAAATGAATGTATTCTTTTATAAATGTTCAAAGTGTTTGAATTGCTTTAAAAAGTTCATGTAAGCTATTATTCAGTTATTTTCAGGTATTTAACTTCTTCATTTTTTTCCCTTGCTGGCAATGACATGAAACTGGGGGTGGAAAACTCACTGCTCACAGTGAAGCCCAATAATGCTTTATCTTAGGGAAGCTTATCTTAGGGAAGCTCATCTTAAGAAAATTAATCTGAGAAATTAGTAAAGAAGAGAGGATAATCTTGTCTTTTCTTGAAGGAGAGTAAATTCATAACTTAATCATAATGTCTGTTTTGTGAACATAACAGAAAGAGGTCTTTTTCCTCTATTTTAAAATTGCTTTTGTGTTCAACATAAAATAAAGTGACCATGTTGTAGAACTACAAAACTACAGTCCTGGAGAAGGCTGCTTTTTCTCCAGATAGTTTATCATCAAAGGGATTTGGGAGCCACCCCTGAAGATTTTTTGCAGCTGTATGAGAGGTTGGTTACAAAGCAAAATATATTTTTTATAACCACCAGGCTTCCCACAGTGAATGCAAACCAGCTAATGCTTATCTAAATGCATCAATCAGATAATGAATGGCGCTATTGTAAGTATCCTAGCACTTAGTGGATCAGATTTTTATAAAGACAAAGGATGAACTTTATAAAATAGATTGCTTTAGCATAGATAATTGGTATAACAAAACACACACACAAATATCTTGTTTTGTGTAATTACACATTTAGTGGTTGAATAAAGATTTTCTGACTGATTTCTTTTTCTGTTAAGCAATAACACCATCTACAATGGATTTTTGTTGTTGTTGTTATGTACTGTTGTGAAGCTCAAAATCTTAATATTGACGCTGAAGCCAGTACTGTGAATGTTTTGTTCACATTGAAATTATTCAGATAGGAGCATGGATTGGAAATAAACGCATACATATTCTGTTGGTTTTACTTATAATTATTTATGTGAAAGATTGTGATGTGATTTGAATAGTAATGGTGGCAAACTTGCTGGACTATGGTGTGGATAAGAGTTTTAGAAACTTTAAATTCATGGTTCAATAAAGAAAAGAGTGTTACAAAACTCTTGGGCACATCTTTTGCTGGTTTTAAATTCTTAGTTTATCCATTCCTCCCCCCCTTAAAATGTGTGGAGCTGTATCATACATGTTAGAATTTTTTATGAGTAGGAGTTTCTTTGCTTTTTAAAACTAGATAAAGTATATTTTTTTCTATTTAACATACTATTTTCATGTATTTTCTCATCTGGAAATGATGGGAAATGCACTATTTCTTCAATATTCTTTAAAACAAAACCCTTTAAAACTAATTGATTCATATTAGAAGGATTTTTACATATCATCACTGGCTGCCCTGACATTTTCTTGTAAAGTTCCAGTCCAGTAAATAGGGAGAGAAATGGAGAGCAGGAATATTTGGAGGAATCAAAAGGACACTTGAGTGATCCAAGAAGGAAAAAAAAGGGAGGGGGGGTTAGTACCTTTAAGTACATTCACTGTATGTTTAAAAAGATTGGTGTGCCAGATTAAACTGTTTCCTTATTAACATACAATTTTTGATATTCACCTGCAATCTATTTCCTATAATAGTTTATTTCAGTGTTTCTCAACCTTAGCAACTTTAAGCTGTATGGACATGCTGACCAGAGAATTCTGAAAGTTGAAGTCCACACAGCTTAAAGTTGCCAAAGTTGAGAAACACTGGTTTATGTGAATACTTTGGTTATATAACCAAGCACTTATACTAAAGTCTATACTATTGGAAATAGGTTAAGTTAGAATTAAATAAAATGTAACAGCAAACGCTAGACTGCACTTTTTCCCTAAAGATCAAGTGATCAATAAAGATGCTTTATGTGGTTTTAATTATATTTCTAAATCAGGTAGAGTAATTTAATGCAATAATTACAACTAAAAGAACAGAAAATATTCATTTTGACTTATTGGAAAGTGAAGAAGAATTATTGAGTAGAAATACAACCTTGCTTTGTGGTTATGCTTTTGCACAAGGGATTGTAAAGATTACTTTTAGTAATTGCTTCTAGTTGGGCCCTTGGTAAGCGTAGTTTATTGCAGAAGCTGACATGCATAATCAAGCTTTAAGATGGAAACAGCCTATGCTTTTCAAATGACTAGGTCTGAGATAAGTGGAGAAATATCAGTTTGGAAGTTTAAAAACAGAATATTCAATTCATTATTTTTATAAAGTTAAGATCAGGAACATATTTTTGTCACAGTGCATCTTTTACTGATATCTGTGATGAAGTTAACATTTTTCATTGTATTGAGAAAGCACAAGAATAATCAAAAGAATGCATTCTTAAAATGACAAACGAAGCATTCAGTTCAGACTTAATCACTTAGCACAAGAGTCCTCCAGATGTGCCCAAAGTATCTTGAGAATTATTATTCAGAAAAATATGTACAACTAAAGGCTTCCCACCCTTGAAGTTTGGATTTTGTCAGCTGAGCGCTTTAAATGACAACAGTTGTCTTCATTGTGTATGAGCAGACATTCTTGAAATACATTGAAGAGTCATACAGTAGTTTTAAAAATACTAGATTGATATCCTCTGCAATCATGACATGTCCAGCTGTTCATCCCATGACCAGAAAATGTTGTATAAAATTAAAATACACCACAATGCCAAGCCTTTTTGTTACTGTATTTCTTGACAGCTATTCTTTCCGTCTCATTTGGGGACTTCTTGGACTATTGTCCTAAGCTGCTATCATTCCTCATGTGTGTTCCGTCTCCCATGGACACTGTTTCTTCACAGCTATGTAACTGTGAAGCTATATAATTGTTATATCTATAAAACAACAGATAAATATACTAGAACACATACATATTAAATAAAATGCTTTCATTTAAACAACTTTATACCTTAATTGTAGAAGCTTTATAAAGACCTCCCACAAATGATTGTTTGCTTATCCAAATAAATGTTAAATACAAATTTGACCACAAAAGTTTCCTATTTGAAAATAGAAACCACAGTGGTAGGGAATCCTGGGAGTTATAATTCCAAGACTCCACAAAGACACAGGGATATGGAAAATCTTATCTAGCTAGCTGATCTGTTGGCAGGATCTATAATATTTAATCTATGCAACAGAGGTAAAAACAGAGATAAATATACAGAGATTGATATACAAATAAAAGATAGCTCACTAAGTGATGACTTTTCAGCTACCCACATACTAAACCCCCCAAACTTG